CCTAAAGTACCATTTAAATAATATTAAATATTCATCTTTTTTTTTTTAATTAAAATTCATTGTGAGCGATGACTGAAACATAAAACCGTACATTTTTTTTTTAACGGTCTATTTACGTGGCCAAACATTACATTACATCCAACGTTCACAGCTGCCTGCTTCAGGTTCATAGCACCACTTTCTCCCTCCGAACTTCCAGGTAGTGGAATGTGTGCCACTAGTGCAGGGGTGGCGAACATGCGGCTCCCGGCCAAAATGAATGCGGCTCTTTGCTCTTACTTCTTTGACCTTACCTGTTCCTCTATCCAGCGGCGTGCTGTCTTCCGGCTTCTGTAGTGTGGGCACATGACAGCCGGGTGCCAAGTGCGCATGCGCAAGAAGCGGTGCTTTTTGTGAATGGTAAGGCGGTACCTGGACACATGACAGATCCCAGAAGCCGCCGGACCAATCACAAAGCGCAAGTGCTTCTCGCTCATGCGCACTGGGCACCCGCTGTCATGCCGAGCGCCATTACAGAAGCCGGGAAGACAGCGCGCGGCTGGATCGAGGAACAGGTAAGATCAAACAAAAACTCTGCGGAAGTAAGAGCGGGTACCTGTCAAATTCAGGTACCCGCTCCCCACCTCCCCAAAGGTCAGCAGTCATCTGTGCTGTCCGCAGTCTCTGGTCATCCCTGTGCTGTCCGCAGTCTCTGGTCATCCCTGTGCTGTCCGCAGTCTCTGGTCATCCCTGTGCTGTCCGCAGTCTCTGGTCATCCCTGTGCTGTCCGCGTCTCTGGTCATCCCTGTGCTGTCCGCAGTCTCTGGTCATCCCTGTGCTGTCCGCAGTCTCTGGTCATCCCTGTGTTTTGTAAGGGGAAGAAAGTGTTATGGTGAATAATATGGTTTTAATTATGTGTTTTTGTGTGAGTGTTTGTCTGTTTTGGCAGGTCACTGCGTGGTGTGGCTCTCTGACTTTCTCAGTTTAAAATTTTGGCTCTTTGTGTCTAACTTGTTCGCCACCCTTGCACTAGTGCTTCAAATGCACAGTTCAGTAGAAACTGCTCAAGTTCAAGATGATAGCTATCGCTCTCAGGGAGGAAGTGCAAAAGGGGAATGGCTCCCCTCCATGGCTCTCCTTCAGTGGATGCAAGCAGAGTTATCCATAGTGCCAGCTGGAAGTGTGCACCTAGGGGTGGCTCCATGGGTCCCTGCAAGAGGACAGGTTCCTTCTACATGGAAAAGGAGAGGAAATAAGAGAAGAAGCAGCAAAATTCTAATAAATTCAATAGCATCTGAAATAACTTATAAAAATGTAAGCTTTACTATCACGTTAAACTTCAGTTTGTGAATGTTAAGGACAGTTCTTAATGGGAAGCAGACTGGCACTTTATACATGCTGCTAGCATGCTTTAGTAAGCTTCAGCACAACTTGAAGCTTGTTAACCGCTTCCTGACCGTCCTATAGCAGATATACTGCTACAGGGCGGCACGGGTGCACAAAATCACATATATATACGTGATTTTTCATGTCTGGGTAGGGGGACGCACATGAGGCGCGTGCGCACTCTACCCGCACCGCTATTCGTGGCTGCAGCTGTCAATCACCGGGCCCGATGATTGCCAAGCATCTCCAACTGTATGTATACAGTTCTCCTCCCTGTCAGCTTGTACACTTAGCTTTGGATGGCTGTGCTCAGCACAGCCATCCAAAGCAGCGTGATTCCAGTGAAGCACAGACACACAGACACAAGTAAAACAGCACACGGTTAACTCTTTGATCGTGTTAACCCCTTCCTGCCGAGTGCCATTAGTACAGTGGTACAGTGTCAGTGTGTTTTTTTTTTAGCACTGATCACTGTATTGGTGTCACTGGGGATATCAGTGACACCAAGTGAGTTCTTCCCAGTGTCAGAATACCCGCTGCAGTCCCACTATAAGTCGCTGATCACCACCATTACTAGTAAAAATATTTAAAAAACGTTAAAAAACTTTCACGCAAACCATTTAATTTACACGTATTGGGATTTTTTTTTAGCAAAGACATGTTGCAGAATACATTTTGGCCTAAATTTATGACAAAATTAGATTTTTTAAATTGTTTTTTACTGGATGGTTATTAGCAAAAAGTCAAAAATATTGTTTTTTTCTCAAAATTGTCGGTCTTTTTTATGGCACAAAAAATAAAAACCGCACAAGCAATCAAATACTACCAAAAGAAAGCTCAAATAGTACGTAAAAGGACGTAAATTTAATTTGGGTGCAGCGTTGCATGACCACACAATTATCAGTTAAAGTAACAGGGCCGTAACACAAAAAATGGCCTGGTCAGGAAGGGGGGGTGGTAAATCCTCAGGTGGGCAAGTGGTTAAAAGCCTGCTAGCAGCTTGTTAAAAACAGACCTCGCACTAAAACACAAGGTCATCATATGTAGCTGCTCCCCACCTCACCTGCTGTTGACGAAACACTGTTTTATGGAAATTAAAAAAAGAAAATGCATTAAAAATACTCACCTTATGTATCATCAGCATACCAAAAGAAAATAATGTATCCTTTATTCCATTTTGATATGAATTTGTGTGGTTCTACTTGCTTTAGGCCCCGTTCACACCATAGTGTTTTGTAGTTCTAAAGTCTAAAACACTCAACATCCAATATCCCATTGTTTTCAATTGTGCATGTTCACACCCGGGTATAGTCGCACTTTAAGATTTTAGCTCGGAAAAGTTCATGAGCATCAAGTGTTTTTGGCCCCAATATGCTTGAATGGGAGTGCCTGAAATATGTTTCCATTGGCTACAAATAATTTAAAAGTTGAGTTAAAATTTAATTTTTTTTTACAGTTTATAGTGGAAGTATTAGGCTTCTTTCAAACAATTGGCCCGATCAGGTCCACCTGTCAGTTTTTCAGGTGGGCCTGACTGGACCCTCCATTCACCTCTATGTGAACTTGTGTCCGTTTACACCCGCCTACGTCCGATCCAATCTGCTAAAAAGAAATGGAAGGGAATCCGTTCCCCTTCAGTCTAGTGGATCAGATCGGAGGGCAGTCAAGTGTAAATGGACACCTATTTACACCTAGCCTCCCATAGAGCAGAGAGTACTGTGTCTGTGTCCGCCTGTTCTGCTTTGCAGGGGATCAGTGGACACATCCCCTGCTGCACCGTGTAAAACAGGCCTTAAGTATATGAAGAGCATGGATAGGAGAGTAGGGCCCAGGAGGGCAAGCTTGACCAGGATTGAATACTTACTGTGATCCATTCAATCCTGTTCAGCATTAGCATTGGGAGTTGACTTCACCTCTGTAGTCTAAATGGCTTGGCTTCCACAGGAAACAGCCGTGTGATTAGTTTTGCACAGACAGATATTCACCCATTTGCTCCCCCTTTAGCTGCAGAGGCAGCAGCAAGGAGTGTACACATGCCACTGAGGAAATGCTTTGCTTCACGGACCTGGCAGGAATTAAATCCCCTGCCAATTTTGGAAAGCGTAGCTCCCACTGAATGCAACCCATTCAAGTGAAAGGGGCAGCTTTGCAAGCACCCCCACAATGTGCTAGTGCCGTGTTCAAAGGGCTAAACCAGGTGATGAGGAGATGATACACCGCCTTCTTACCACCTGTCAAATGCTTACTAAACAATCCGAACACAGAACGCTGTTCAGAAAAGAAAGCATGTAGGCACAAGCCCTGAGAGACATCAGAGCAAAATGAACTAAAGGAAATTTAAGCAGGTATTTATTAAAGCATTCTTCTTTTTTTTAAGTTGGAATTACTCTTTAAAAGGCTTGAACAAAGTTGCTTGCAGCTTACCAAAAGCTTGCTGTACACACTTCTCTTATACAAGCTAAAGCTAAGGGAAAAGCATGTTGGGGAGATTTAAAGAAAAAAAAAAGTACATTGCACAGCAATATTTTCCATACTTAACTAGCTTACTAAATATATACTATTCACTTACCACATTACCACATCCAGGCTTCAAAAAAGTGCATTTCTAGAATTCTAACATATTCAAGTAACCCTTGTGCAAAATCCAAATAAATAATATAATAAATGAATTATTTACACCAATTGCAAAAAGTAAAACAAAAAGATAAATACTCCCAAGGAAAATCTACCCCAAAAATGTTATCTTTGCTTTAGGCTGCATTCACACCTGAGCATTGCGTGTTTGCACATTTTTTGGGGGCATTTGATCATGCGTTTGTATGCGTGTTTTTGTATAGCATTTTGGACCTTTGGCATTTTTGTATTAACCAACAGAGAAATCTCTCATCCATTACTTCATTTGTTGGTATGTTTTTCTGCTTTCAGCTGCTTCAAAAATGCACCAATTTTCTCCTAATTGAACTGCAAAAGTAGCTGCAAAACGTTTTTGAGCTTCGGGCGTTTTGGAGTGGAGCTGTGAACCACCACCATAGAGAGTAATAGATTTTTCTGTGCCTCAGCATTTTGGAGCTTAAGTGAAACATGAAATGTACACAGTAACAGCATTCCTGCAGCCTTATAAGTAACCCTTATTGTCTTTAGATATATGGAGTGATTAATACAACTGATAGGAGTAGACACTACCATCAATACTTCAAGAAATGTCACATTTAAAAAAAAAAAAAGTTGACTTCCAGTCAAATACTAACTATACTTAAACCTGCTCTCATCCCCATTCTAAGCCTATTCTAACTACCCTGTAAAGGAAAGAGGTCTATACTTACTTACTGCGGAGGGCGCTCTGTTCTGGTCACATATCTACAGCGGCCAGCTTCAGTGAAGAGGAGAGATCACCGTCAACGGCATCTATTGTTGGCTGTCCCTCTTCTACACTGAAGATGCTGCACCAGATCCATAGCCAGACCAGAGTGCCCTCAGAATAGGTAAGTATAGACATCTTTCTTTACAGGGTAGTTAGAATAGGCTTAGAATGGGGTGGGAGCAGGTTTAAGTATAGTTAATATTTGATTGGAATTATATTTTAAACAAATAAAACAGTACTGAAAGAACACTGAAATGTTAGCTACAATGGTCCATTATTCCTTAATACTTTGGAGAAGCTGAAGGAGATGATTCTCAATGACCTGCTGAACTGGAAGAATAAAAGAGAGAAAGAAAAGTGATTAGGAAATTTGTAGCATTTTATTGCATGTTTTAAAAAAAAAAAAAAAAATTCCCCATTTTTTTAATAAGGTACATATGAAATATTGAATGTGACTATTTATCTTGTTTAAACAAGGCCCCAAGGCAAGAAGGAGAATGGGAACCGTAAGGAAACAATAGGGTATAATACAATGCGAGGGGAGGTAAAACAAAGTTATGATCTAAATATGGAAAGCTGCTACCAAGAACTACACATAGGTTCCAAGTAAGAAAAAGAAAAAAGAAAGCAAAGACAAGTACAGGTAGGAAAAAGAAGGGGAGAAAAAGAGGAGACCAAGAGGGGGAATGGGGGGGGGGGGGATATGTGACTTCCAGGAGAGAAATGGTAATCTTGGGACTGTACCAATGTATGGATTAGCCCACAGAACCACCATATGATGTGGCTAGGGGATGTTAAGGGAGGAACAGCGAATCATCAAAATTCAGTGGGAGAAAACGTTCCAACCATGGGGTCCAAATCGTCAAACTTGGCCATGGAACAGCTGAGAAGCCAATTGTCCCATTACTTTTGGTCCCTTAACAAGTGGGAGGCACATATGTAAACTGTTGTAATTCCTACACCGTTCACCTGATTTGGATGTATATACCCTCAAATTAAAGCTGACAGTCTGCAGTTAAAGCACATCTTGTCCGTTTAATTTCAAATCCATTGTGGTGGTGTATAGAGCCAAAAATGTCAGAATTGTGTCGATGTCCCAATATTTATGGACCTGACTGTATATTACTACTGTCTGTGTCCCATGTTGGGGAGGATAGTGCACACTTTCTGTCCTGGTGACTATACAGAAAGTGAGGGTATATATATTACTACTGTCTGTGTTCCATGTTGGGGAGGATAGTGCACACTTTCTGGGTGACTATACAGAAAGTGAGGATATATATATTACTACTGTCTGTGTCCCATGTTGGGGAGGATAGTGCACACTTTCTGTCCTGGTGACTATACAGAAAGTGAGGGTATATATATTACTACTGTCTGTGTTCCATGTTGGGGAGGATAGTGCACACTTTCTGTCCTGGTGACTATACAGAAAGTGAGGGTATATATATTACTACTGTCTGTGTTCCATGTTGGGGAGGATAGTGCACACTTTCTGTATTGGTGACTATACAGAAAGTGAGGGTAAATCTCCTCAATGTCTAGAGAAACAGTATTTAGAACCTGGCCGATGTGATAACCCTTCCCCATTTTCACCAAAACAATAAAATATGTTTTGGCTCAGGTTGTGATTTAAAATTTCCAAACAGCTGGTTGATTTCTAGAGTCCTTTTTTATTATTTTTACCCCATTAACTCTGACTACGTTGCTAAATAAAAAATAAAAAAAAAACATGCCAACATGCTTCACAGCTGAATCTCAGATAAGTCAAAAGAGTGGCTAATCCCTGTTCTAGTCTGTAGAAAAGAAAGTGAGGGAGCTGCTCCCCTAGAATGATTCCCAAGCATAGCGGCCAATTACTAGGCCAGAATGCTGTCATATGATGGTGAGTAATGTTTACATTCACTCGGGTCACCAATACAGGCCATTAAATGGCCAGCTGTACAGGATAAAGAACCTACAAGGGAGTGCTGGTAAGACAAGTATATGTGGGTTGAGGATACCTGCTTCAGGGGCACTGTCGCTTTGTCCTGCACAGGCAAGGTGACAGTGTCTCTAAGCCAATGACACAACTCCCTTTTGAGTGCATGGATGATGCTAAAGCTTTGTAGGAAAACATGAGGCAAAAGAAAAAAAAAAAAAAAAAATCATGTCCGAGGACAAAATACAAATATTAACCGATATTTAATAAAATATATATAGACATGCCCCCTAAGGATATTTTATAGCATGTTTTTTTATTGACTCAGAGTGTGACACCATTATATTTTGCAATATTTACATGTTTAGATATTGTCAACATAATGCCTGATGCCTTGCCGCATGTGATAGGAAATACAATCACTATTAAGTAGACATTTTGAATGAAGTTGAGCGTGAACCTAGGGCACTGTTTGCTGTAAGTACACAACTTACCACTCCTGTGGCCAAGAGCTACAGACAGATCCATGGAGTTGTATCCAGAGTCTGTCTCGATGGTTGGATCCGCTCCATTTTCTGCCAAATATAAGTCATCGTTAAAGAACCGCTCTTAGTCAAACATGCTTTTCTAGCAAGGTATTTATTTTATGTGTTTGTATAACCTGAGACATAAATTATTACACAATTGATTCAAAGAACCAGAATCAGGACATGTATAAGGCCTTATTCACAATATATGCACAAAACTTCCAACTGCCACAAATTTTTTTATGGGCAACTTCATTTTCACCTGGTATGCAAAAACACAGTCAATGATAAAAATAAAGAAACAACTCGCCAAACCATCAAGCTTTTAGGAAACTCTCCTAATTCATGTTGCTTGCTCTGGGTAATTTAGACAATACGTGAAGTATTGGTAAGAATAGGGTATATGCTCTTGAAATATACTGTTTTGTAAAAAGCAGGAAAGAAATACATTTTTCCATTCATTTTCAGTCATTTTCCTTTCATGATCAGAGAATATTGAAGCTTAGATGTCTAAACCAAATTTATCTGGGCCAGTTAACTTGACTATAACTGTATTGGGCATTGTGCATAAAGGCTTTGTAGAAGTGTATTGCAGATGCTAAGTGGTAAACAGATAAGTGTATTTTTTAAAAACTGCCTTAATCAGACAATCTATATACAAAGTAGCAAGTACAATGTTGCCCTAATTGTTAGAACACAGGCATTATTCATTCTGAGCCTGTCTAGAGTTTTCTTGCCCTCCTGCATGTGTCCACCTTATTGAAAGAATGCATGCTTCTAAAGGATGTAAACACTGTCCCACACCCATTAAAGTGTTACTAAACCCAGGACCCTGTATTCACTATATCTGGTCTTCCACAATACACACAAGCAATACACATTAAACTTAACATGTGCATGTGACTAAAGGTTCAGTCTGTCTTATCAGGTGGACATCTGAACAAGAGGAGGGGCAGAGAAAACAGGACCTAACAACCTTTTTACACCATGTGGAGGATTAACCCCTTAGGTTCCACAGTGAGTATAACAAGCATGCTTTACTGCATATACAGACTGATTTTACTGTTGTGGGTTTACTAACACTTTAAGGTTAACCGTTTATGAAGCTCTTATGAGGATACCAGCATTTATGTTCTTTAGGTTGTAAAATCCAAATTCCACCTAAAAAGAATCATTTGATTTTAAGCAGTTAATCGTGGATTTTGTTTTGGGGACTCCAGAGATAGCTCTTCACTCAGTAGTGTGAGTATCTGCTACCACTCAAAGCAACACAGCAGCTACCACAGGCTGCAGAGTTGCTCCTATCAGAAAGAATGATGTCTTAACCACTTGCTGACCTTGCTATAGCCAATTGACAGCTACAGCGCGGTCGTCCATTTCTGGAAGGACGTCATATGATGTCCTCCCAGAAACGCGCCCACTGAGGCAAGCACCCGGCGCTCTCTGTGATCACTGTGTCCTTCAGACACAAATTATCACATCATGGTAAAGGGCCAATCACAGTGGCCCTTTACCACATGATCAGCTGTGTCCAATCACGATGTAAACACACTTGCTGGTTATTGGCAGTACTTTCGTCAAGTTGTCACAGCATGAGGAAAGTACTATGGATAACTGGCAAGTGTGAAAGGAGACATCTACACTGATAATCAAGGCACTGATTAATAGTGCAGCCCCTACAGTGTCCATCAGTGCTGCCTATCAATGCCAATCAAGGTCAAGCAGTGCTGCCAATCAGTGCCCATCAGTGCTGCCAGTCAGTGCCGCCTATCATGTCACCTATCAATGCAGCCTCATCAGTGCCTCCTCATTAATGCCTACGAGTTCCACCTCATCAATGCTGTCTATCAATGCCCATCAGTGCAGCCTCATCAACGCACATCAAAGCATAAAAATTACCTGTAAAAAAAAAATATTTTTTTCAAACTTTTTGGTCTTTTTTTGTTTAGCAAAAAATAAAACACCCAGTGGTGATTAAATACCACCAAAAGAAAGCTCTATATCTGTATTATACAAATTTCATATGGATACAGTGTTGCATGACTGCACAATTGTTATTCAAAGCACGACAGCGCTGAAAGCTGAAAATTGGCCTGGGCAGGAAGGGAGTAAAAGTGCCCTGTAGGCAAGTGGTTAAAGAGGGCCTCTAACCTCTAATCTATGGTGCCTGCAAAGACCAGGACCTCATCATCTGGGACCATCAGGGTCCTATTTAAAGAGTAACTCCACTTTTGCTGAAAAAAAGCATTCCCCTCTAAGTTATCTATGTACATTTCAAGGATTTTAAGAAACTTTGTTGCAGATTCCTACCTTTTGTTATTCTAAGGTAATAGCTATTTGTTTGCCTGTGCTCAAGTGCAGAGTGAATCTCAATGGGAGTGGTTTTAGAATTATCAATCAGCTGCTGCACCTGCAGAGCTCTAATGAGGAAAGTGGCAGGGTCTGCATGATTTCTCTTTGAGAGTATCTCACCAAAAATTAAATTTTTTGTTGCAGGGTAGGACATAAATGTGGCTTGTATCATAGTGTAGACTTTTGGGGAAATCTGTAAGCCAATCACTTAAGTAGGAAATAACATTTCTGGGGGGGCATTCTGCATACCATCTGTGTACAGAACATCTCCAGGTTGTCATATTGCATTGCATTTTACAGAAAAATACAGCACTGCAGATAGAAAAGGCAAGGTACTTTTTAATAACATTCAATTACAATATAACTTGAGGTGCAATTGTATATGCTATATTATTTTTTATTTGCTAATTTTTTCCCCCATGAAAGTGGAGTTACCCTTTAAGTAGGAAATAGCTGGGTCAACAGCCAGTAAGCCCCATTTCTTGTAGAATTCCTCCTCCATGGGGTACTGGTGAGCAAAACACTTAAAAATTTTAAACAACTTCTCTGGGTAAGCCCAATCGGCATATATCACCTCTTGTAAGTGAGGGTGATCTGTTGGAATTTTTGAAGCAGCCAGGACCCAAAACAAGTGATCTTTGAAAAAGAGGATTCTGGCAACAGTAACTTAAGGTTAGTGTGTACCTAATCCGCCAGAAAGTCCACTGTGGCTTTCTATGTGTTAGACAGCCCTGGACCCTGAGAAGAAGAGTGCCCACGTTTGCATCCCAGGTGTTCCAAAACAGTGATAAGCCTGAGAACTGATCATGCAGTGCAAGTATGCTTGCAGAGAATGACTAACCTTGGCACAAAGGAAATGGAGGATTGTGCCCCTGTAACAGCGGAATTACGAGATATGCAAAATCATTCAAAATTGAGAATTGTGAACTCTCAACTTGGTAGAGATTTTGGAGTCCACCCTTTTGCCCATCCCCTGCCTCTCTTCCTGCATGAGGCCATGGCTTGCTGAGGGTTAAACAGGCCTGTGAACCCCAAAAGAAAGCCGCCATCCAGCTGGAAGGAATGTCAGAACATCCCCAGGCACCCCCAATTGACATGTTTCAATACTCACTGTGCCTGGATGAGAGCTGCAGGCAGATAGTTTACGCAGTGTGGCTGGGTATCCCATGCTGTGTAGCTCAGGTGCTGAAAAAAACACGTACTGCACCCAGGGATCGAAAGACGTGAGCAATGACATCATCATACACAAGCACCACAACGGTCCACCTTTTTGCCACACCACCACTGCTGTATATTGCTCTATTGTAAACTGCGCAAAATTTGACCCAATACACAGGGAACACAGTCAGGGGAACTGCCACAGTGCTCCACTATAACACAGAAGCACTCACCAGTTAATAGCTGAAGGGTCAGTACACCCAATCTTCACCCATCACAGTGGGTGAGCTCTGCAGGGCCTTCAAGGACTTGACTCCCCACCAGGGGAATCACTGCCCTGGACCAGTAGAGACTCCTGCCAGCAAGGTCACTGGGTATACTGTACCCTGAAGATCACTGCCTGCGGGTCCAGCACCAACCGGCAGAAATTACAGGCCGTCCTCAGTCTTTTATGCGGGGTCTGGATACAGCTTCCCTTGGCTTGCTGGCTGTATCAACTAATCTGGTGTCTATCTCTACCCCACCAGGGTTGTAAAGAACAGGCCCAGATATACAGGAACAAAGTCCATAAGAAAGATCTTCAGAGATACCCAGGTAGTCATTAGTCATATTCATCACCTAAGGACAATTGCAGAACACTGAGGCTTAGCTGCACTGATAGGTTTCTGTCTGGGCATTTGTTTCTTTATTTGGCCAGTGTCCATTCGCCTGAAGGGGACAGCATAACCCAAACAGTCAAGATAATGAAGTCCTCTGGTCCTATCATGTGCAATAAAAAAAAATATAGGCTGATTCTGAATATGGCTTAAAGTGTATGTAAACTCTAACACCATTGTTCTCTGGTATATCTGCAGACTCCTGTATATCTTACCCCCCCCCCCCCCATACACACTGCTGTTATTGAGAAAAAAGGGAGCAGTTATGTGGTCTCAACACACACCTTGAGACAGCAAGAGAGGTAATGTCAGGATTACCAGTTTACTTAAAAGACAAAAAAAGTGTTTAAAAGAAAAAAAAAAAAAAAAAAAGTAACGCAGTCACCACCTTTAAGGACCGTTACACTGCAATGTTATCAATTTTTGTTCTTGGGCTTAGATGCACTGTAACTATTTCAGTAATTGTAAGGATTACTTCTTGAACTCACCTAACAGGATCTTCACACATTTCACGTGATTCCCATGTACAGCATACAGCAGTGGTGTTCCTCCATTCTAGAAATACAAAAACAAAAAAAATATAGTTAGAGCAGTAATTTCAAGAAAGTAGAACGTGAGCATAGTATAAGTAGCTTATTTCATCTACAAGGAGTGATAATGTGTACAACATGACATTCTGCAAACTGATTTAGGTATTTTAGCTCTGAAAAAACAAAACAAACAATCCCAGATTAAGTTACTCACTGGTATGTCTATAATGACCAGAATTAAAGGTGTTTATTAGGAGCACCCATAAGGTGAGGTGGTAGAGGGATGTATAAAACTAGCTGAATTGGAATATGGGGTAAGAGAGAAATAAAAAAAAGGAGGGGAAAAAAAAAAATGAAGGAAGGGGCCTTTGACAGGGAAAATTTTAGGTCTAACATTCAAGTGTTTATACGGTCAATGAGGAACAGTCAAATGTTCAGGCAAAAAGTGGGCAATAAAGTGGTCCCAAATTTTATAAAAATGACAACTTCTGTCCTTTTAAATAATGGTTAGTTTTTCATACACCATACATTGATGCATGCAGGACTTCAGTTAATCAAATGGGATGGAGGGCTTTAACAGGCCTTTGCAATAGTTTGCTTAGATGCTGTCATATATTTGTAAAGATATTAGGCATTTTCCACTACTGTGTTCTATGTTCAAGATCTATAATGTACTGATAATTTAAAAAAAGTATATCTTGTGTAGACATCCAAAAGACCTGAGACCCTGACACTGCATGCACAATCAGCTGCCTCAGCATATTCAGAGCTGCCATTCAAGTGACACCCTATGGTATTCCTTTTCGCTCCATTTTCAGAAGCTACATATAAGGTTATATAGTGAGGTGAGGTCAGGGGCAGAGATGCTGTGCCAACACAGCAATAAGACACTAACAGAAGAGAAGGGGGCTATGATGTGCAAGGAGGGCAGGGGGCTGTGCTAGGAAATGGACTTTCCGTGGATTATTCAAATTCCTTAGCAATTTTCAAGGCACATTGCCAGTGAACAATAAATGTTTGTGGAAAGGAAAAATGCAGCAAGCAAGCATTTAATATACAGTGAAGGAAATAAGTATTTGATCCCCTGCTGATTTTGAATGTTTGCCCACTCACAAAGAAATGATCAGTCTAAAAATCGAATGGTAGGTGTATTGTAACACTGAGAGACAGAATAGCAACAACAAATTCAAAAGAAATGCATGTCTAACAAATGATGCACTGATTTGCATGTTCATGAGGGAAATAAGTATTTGATCCCCTATCATTCAGGAGGATTTCTTGCTACCATGTGTCTTTCATACAGGTAACAAGCTGAGATTAGAGATTGGTGGTCCAGCCTACAGTTACAAGCTTACTGGAAGCAAATAATAACCTCTTTGCATGATGTCATGGATTCCCCGGTTCAACTAGATCCCTGGCACAACTAAATCCTCAGCTATGCCTGCTGGTTCTCATGAGTCTTCAGAATCACACATTTATCTGAGGACCTTTTTTGCATGAGGTATTGTCTACTGCCAAGGAGCTGATAGTTAAGGTGTGGATCCAAGCTGCAGTGCCTAACTTTCAACAATAGAAAGCAGAGATTAATACAACACTCCCATACAAGAAATTGATCTATGACCACAGAAGTTGCCTGAAAAAAAAATCCAAAAATTGGGGGTATGTGGCAGACAGAATCTTCTATATGTTGTCCATTAAGAGCGACTGCTACTTGATTTTGAAAATTGGCTCTTATGTGTTTAGGTCTGACGCACTCAGGTAGCAGTGTCATACAGTCATTTGTGATCTGTTATGTCTAAGTGTACTGCTAAGCTCCAAATGCAGGTGTACCTCGGTTTACAAACGCCTTGACTAATGTAATTTTTGGTTTACAAATGAAAATCCATTGAAAATAATGCCTCAGTTTACAAATTTTTTTCGCAATATGAAGTGTATGTCGATGCCGATTTTTAAATGCAATTGCCGGCTTTTTTTTTTTTTTTCTTCACTATAGCTCACAGAATTAGCTGTCACTTTCCCCAGAGTTAAAGGAAACTTTGTTTCTTTTCAGAAACTAAAAGGAAACATTGTTTCTTTTAACTCAGGGAAATAAAATAAAATGAAACTTTCTCTATTAGCTGGGGGGAAAGTAAAAGCTGAATCTCTGAGCTATAGTGAAGAAAAAAAAAAAGCGGTAATTACAATTAAAAACTGGCTCGTTTCCCCCCCCCCTTTCCTAACCTGCCAGGCTGCATGCTCGAACAAGGGTCTGGTATAGATTTTGGGGGGGGGGACCCGCACACAATATTTTGTTTTTTTTAATTCTGGCGTGGGAGTTCCCCTCAAAATCCATACCAGACCCGAAGGGCTTGGTGTGGGTGGGAGGGGGGACCCCATGCCGATTTTTACATTTTCTTTTAATTGTTGGAATTTCTTTTACATTCAGCTGTCAGTGGGGAACCCCGCTGACAGCTGAAACATTAACACATGGTTGTCACTACTAAAATACTGCATGACTTGATAAAATAACTCATGCGGTATTTTAGTAGCATTGACTTTTTTCTGACCTCCGGAATGGAGTAATTGGTTTTCAATGCATTCCTATAGGAAACGGTGTTTCAGTTTACAAATTTTTTGCTATACGAAAAGTCCCGCAGAATGAATTAAATTCGTAAACCGAGGTATGCCTGTACGCCTAAATTTGAGATGGCACACAACATTTGGTTTAGGCTTTTATCAGCTGTTTTTACTCTGCTAATGCAGGCTTTGGTATAATTATTACGCACTTATTTCTGTGAACAGTCTGTAGTTAGGTCTCTTATTTAATTTGTCTTCACCATTTGATAACTTGCCAATTGTCTATATAATAAATTTTTTATGTGCATGCTATATTTGCGTACAAGGTGCATTTCTTTCTCGGCATTGATGTTTCTTACATAATGACCATTTCATACTAAAAAAAACCCCCCCATTTTTTCAATAAAAAAATGGAAGCTTCCACCAGCTGCATTAGTATGTATATTTTAATTGATTTGGAGGAAAAACAACTGTAAAGCCCTTTATGTGTTTTCATGCATGCCTAGAAAACTACTGGCAAAAAAGTAGAAAAGGTAAACTTTGATTTATGGGAAATTACAGTATGCAAAAAAAGTTACATAATAATGAATTCTCTTAAGGATGCGAGTGATAACCTGCAGTGATAAATAATACAGAGAACACATAAAAACATGACATCTTACCCAGTCATATTCATTAACATCTACTCCGCACTCCACCAGCATTTTTACTATATCCGTGTAACCTTTGCTACAAGCTAGTGACAAGGCACTTTCCCGTCCTTTTCCAAGGATTTGAGGATCGGCCCCCTAATGTAAACGAGAACCATATATAAACGTATTTTCATAGCCTCAGTGGTTTAGCTTAGAATTGCAGAACAATAACAAGTATTAAAAACCACAACACGCTTCAATACACTTTTCTCCCATAGGTCTTAAAGCACAGAATATACAGTACACTCGGGGGTTGATTTTAATGAAACTAGAGAGTGCAAAATCCAGTGCATCTCGGCTTTCAAAACCAATCAGCTTCCAGGTTTTACTGTCAAAGCTTAATTGAAGAAGCTGAAGTTATAAGATGATTGACTACCATGCACAGCTGGACCAGATTTTGTATTTTCTAGCTTTAGTAAATCAAACCATCAGTGACCATATTACTAGATAAGCCTGCTTGTAATAGAAACAGCCAAGAAGCAAACTCTATGGTTACATTATACATAAAACAGGCAGATATGGTCAAGATGCTTATCTGTTGTGTAGCCAAATAGTAAAAGAGGGAAAGATGTGTTATCTAATTGACTCTGTTGATGCTATAAATGGTGGTTGCAGAATCACAGACAGTGCTGACCTCATGGGACTTTCACACACTATGTCACACACTCTCTCATTAAGAATGGTGCAAAAAAGCTCCACCTCTGTAGAATAAAACACCTTGATATTAAGATGGGATAGAGGACAATAAGCAGACGGGTTCCAGCCGAAATCCATAATGACTCAAACAGTCACAATTATGTGCAAAACGGATTCTCCAAGTACATAAAGTACTTTGAAAATTGGGAATGATCCAGAGCACTAGGGGTCCACACCAGGTTTCACTCCTATTAGCTAGGAACACAAAAATGAGCATACAATGTGCACAGGAACACGAAAGCAAGATGGAGGACGAATGATAAAGCGTTGCCTGATCTGACCAATTTCGTGTTCTGCTATGACAGATGGTACAGTACATGTAAAAAGTGACATACACAGCATGAATACAATTCAGGCTGATGGTGGGGAACTGTTGAGCTTTTTTTCAGAGCAATACAGCAAGCCTTTAGTGAGCCAACACTTAGATACAGTTTACTGGGGATCAATGAGCCTCAAAAGCTGCTCAGAACAAGGCTGTTATATAAAAGGCAATATCCTAAGACCTATTTGAAATCAGGGAAAAAAACAGCTTGCTGGCTGGGGTTTTGCCTAAAAAGAAGTGAGGAGTAGAAAGTGTACTTTTTGCAACAATACACATAAAAACAATAACTACATCTAACTTATTGCTTACATTTTGTAGAAGGAATTCCACCACTGCAATCTGTCCATGTGCTGCAGCCCACATCAGAGGAGTAAAGCCTTCTTCATCTGTGAGATTAATCACATTTTCTGTGGGAAAAGTAACTCTATTTGAATAATCCTTGTATTTACTGTTGTAAATCGTATCAATATATATTACAATACATATGACAGACTGTGCATCTGAAAGGTTTTTTTCTTACTAGAATATGCACAATAAACACAGGGCTTTCCTTAGATGAAAGCCAAATGTAACTAATTTACATATGTATCATATCCTCGCTATGTCAATTGTATTTCCATTTCCAGTAAGCCATATAAAACAAGCATTCTTGACTGCAGCGCTTCAAATACCTGAATGATGGAAGCTTAACATAACTGTCACACTGAAGAGTTTTCTAACTGCATAAAGAAGCAGGGAACCTCTGTTAATGAAAGAAAATGTAGTCTAAACTCTCTACAAGATCTTGTGTTACCTTGTTCAAGTCGGCTTGCCAAATAGACCATCTCCCCCTGAGCAGCCAGCTGATGAACAGACAGGGCTGTATAACAAACATGAGCACATATTCATTATTACACAAACTGAAATACTACAAATCCATTTACTAACAAGAAGAAAAATAAATGCCAGTGACTGAGAATGTTTTTAAACTAATTCCAACAGCTCGCAAGCTCGCAACAAGTCATACAGCAAATTCATACATTTTAAACAGATATTTTACTATTTTTTTTACTATGCATTTGAACGATGTCCATGATTAAAATTAAGAAGTCCAGCTCACTCCTTGTCCATTTCACATTGTGTTCATTCAAGCCCTGATGAAGGGGGTGTTTTTGGACCCCCAAAACATGTTGGTACTTTTTAGACTTTCCCCCTGACTTTTATTGGAGTGAAGTAGAAATTCTTAGCCCTAGTGTGGCACTTTAATTTCTATTTCTTTTACATTACACTACAAGCTCCGGAGTCCTTGAAGATCCAGTGTGGTATAGAAACTGCATGACTGGGAACCAGATTATTTACATCAACATCAATACTTTAGAATAAATACAATAAATGTGTGCAGTGCTCAAATCCCTTATTATCCACTAATGACACTAGAAGTAAATAAACAGATTACTTAATATCATATACATAAATAACCAATATAGCAATAAATATACATCTCAATTTCTAAATCTATAAATATATTGGTGACCTTAATCCAAGTAATAACATACACTCACCACCCACTTTATTAGGTACATCTTGCTAGTACCAGGTTGGACTCCCTTTCTCCTTCAAAACTGCCTTAATTCTTTGTGGCATAGATTCAACAAGGCCCTAGATGTTTTGTACTGATGACCATTTGGGAGAGTGGGGTGGTGAGCCATGTAATGAAATGATACATTATATGCTGGCTTGTTTCTTACATTTTGTAAGTGTTTTTATCTGGGCACTAACAAATTGTTTTATAAATAGAGAGCACTATGATTCCACTTTTCTGTTTTCCATAGTACATATTATATGAGAGCGTCAGCTAGATGAGTGTATACTGTGGTAGTGCCATTAGGTTTTTCACCTAATGGTGGTGGCACGGTTGGCACTGAAGATAAAAGATTTATCTTATACACATTGCACATTGGCGTTATAGAGACTTTTTCATGGGACTTTAATTATTGTTTATTATTTATTTTTGATATGGGATAGCCTTTTGCGCTACACTTTATTGCTATTCATTTTGGGCTGCATAATATGTTGTCACCTTTATGTCCTTCAGTCTCTGAAAATTTCTAGTCTGATCTTTTAGTACCCGAGCCCTACTCCGGCTTCTTCTGAAAGAAGTTCCCTGCATCTACAATCACCAGTAGAGAGCCAAGTACCTGACACCACTGGTTGACCATTTCTGAAGGACAAAAATGTGTGCAACGGTTATTGTTTCCCCACCAAGCTGGAGGGTGGGGACTGGGGAGAGTATATAAATCTAGATCTTCCAGCAGTCAGATCCTGCATTCAAGTATATCTAACCTCTAACACATGCATACATTAAAATGAAAAGAACAATATAAAAAAAACTGCTTACAATTTACTAGCAGCGGGGTGGTCGATACCTCATTGCCTCTGTGTTTATTTGTCAGTGTTGTAGACTGCTTGATGGGAGAAAAGTGCTTGGTTGTTGATGGTGTGTACACATGTCTGACTTGTATACCCGGAGATGGTGAAGTGTGTATATTGCATTCAGCTGGAAAGAACAATAGTTTTCATACATAAAATTAATTCTGTGGTATATTTGTTTCAGACAGACTTTGCAGATATGTTCTAGAGGATAGTCAAACATAAACAAACGTTTAAAAAGAAGCTTCAGACCCAAGTTGACTTATTATCCTACGCCATTAAAAGGCTTTCGTGGCTAGGTAGAGTAAATGCCTTGAAAATGGATGTTCTCCCCCGCTTTCTTTACTTGTTTCAAACTATTACAATTCGTCCCCCTCACCTTGTTTTTTTTTTCAGAAACTTCGGCGACTGTTTTCCATTGTCATTTGGAAGTCACAACATCTCAGAATTCGTATGGGAACACTCGCTCTTCCAAAGACATGAGGTGGGGTAGGAGTCCCAGATGCCTCTCTATATCACTAAGCAGCTGTATTCACCCAAATTCTGGACTGGCTTCATCATTCTTCTAAGCTGTGTGTCTAGTTGAAAGGTCACATAAATCCTATTGACCTCCAACCTTTTCCATAGACCCTCCCTCCACCTATCGTAAGGGCTCCTCTATTCCCAGCAATCTCACTCGGCAAACAATCCACCAATGGGACCACGTGACATCTGCCCTTGGTCTTTCCAAACATGAGGGACTTATAACCCCCTTCTTTGGGACCCCGGTCTTCCCACCGGCTCTACATGTTATGGGATTTGAAACCTGGCTTAAACAAGAACACAGGAGACTCACCCAAGTCCTCCAGGCAGATCCATCCTTGACAACAGAAGCTATTCTGTAGCACCTCGATATACTACATCACAGTGATGAAACAGAAAGTTGTGTGATATGTCCGCTCTTCCCCTCCATACCAGCCATCCTTACTAAACCAATGGAATTCAAATCTTTGCTTCTACAGGAAGACCCTCCTACTCATGTAGTCTCCCAACTCTATTCATTACTTCTGAATGCACCTTCTCCCGATCTCCTTCCATACACACAAGTTTGAGAAATGGAGCTTCATCACACTATCCCTCCTTCGGATTGGAAAGAGTGCTTTATACTAACCCACAATATTTCTTTTGTACTAAGAATCAAGAAAAAAGTTTTAAACTAGTAAACAGATAGTATAGTTGCCAATCGGTTCTCCATTGGTTTAACCCCTCCACCTGAGACATATGCTGAAGTTGCCAGGCCTCTAGTGGTACTATGCTACACATCTGGTGGGAATGTCTCCCTGTCAGGAGATTCTGGCAACACATTTTTGATTTATACTACAAACTGATGGTGACTTCCATTTACCCCTCCTTTCCATGCCGCCTGGGCCCTTCAAATCCATAAAAAAAGATGTCCTGAGAAACTTTGTGACCATGGCTAGGGCGGTCATCCCCCGCCATTGGAAGTCGAACGCTGTCCCTTCCCTAGGGAAATGGGCCAATGAGTTGGATTATATAAGAGACCTTGAACACCTCTTGGTGCCGAAAGCATGAAAAGAGGACGAGTTTCCACTTACCTTGATCTTATGGTCCATGTTTTGTTACTCATCTGAGTTCCTGCAAGTGACACTGATCCCATCCCCGAGTAGCCATGGTGGAGTGTATCCTTACCCTAATTCTACCCTCCTATCCTGACCTGTCCATCTCAACCTCTTTCCTACTCTATGTTACCAATTTGAGATTTTAATTTACCCATCACATTGAGCATCACCACCATATAATCTGATCCCCTCAACATATACGTTCTGTATTTAATACCAAATGTTAGTATACTTTCTGAAAACACAAATTTCCATATGTACCTACAACTGATGCCAAAGATGATGCTATGCACCCCTTCCTTTTCCCATTTCTGTTCTATGTAAAAATGACTGAACTGTAATGTGATTTTACTAGAATGATTTATTATATTGACAATCTCTCATTACACAGTACTCCCAATATTCAATCTCCATACAACATATCTATATGTACCCTTTTCTGTACTCCATTTTAATAAAATCAGATTGAACAAAAAAAAAAGATTTAGATTTTTCAAAAGGCTGTAAATTATTTTCTTAATTACATTGCTGAAACATGCTCAGACAGACACTTCCGTAATTGCATACACTGTCAAATTACTGTATCAAAGTAGTTTGTATAATGTAGAAAATATGTTCTGTGAATGGACTGTAAGTGCTAGTAACAATGTGTAAAGGGGGGACAGGCTGAACTGGTAATAGCAATGGTAAACCATGTAGGAAAAAAAAGAGACCCCAGGAATAGTCCTAGCAGGTTTGTCCTGCACCTTAATTCAGTAAGGCAAGCAAACACAGTTTCAATGCAGGAAGGCTTTGTACAGCAAGCCTATAACATCAAATAAACTGAGCCACTAACTAAACTCAGTACTGGCCAATAGGGTGTTCCCTAATGGGTTCCAAAAAGCATGGAAAGCACATGTAGCTTATTAGTACTCTGTTAGCAGTCAGCCTTTTCAGAGAGAGAGAGAGCTCTGAACATCAGTCAACTCACATATATTAAAGCCTGTGGACAGCAGAGACTAATAATGAAGTCTGGCTACCAGATAAAACATGGACCTAGGAATGGAGGCTTCCACACCCAAAGCTCTACAAAGCCTCCAGGACCAGGTCCCAGAATGGAATCTAATAAACTGTTGAAAAAAACAATAACGTTTGTTTTCTCTAAATCATTTGTAAACAAAATAGCCCCTCATCATGTGTAGGTGAGAAAACTAGGTGTCACAAACAGTCCAAAATCCTGCCCAACAGTGCCTCACAATTGTTAAATATTTAACGATGATAGATAGACAATATAAACAAAGCAGACAAAACCAACCTTTAAATAATACAGAAGCTACTTCCAAATCTGAATTGACTTGATCTTGAATATTTTTACTCTCTTCTTCGTTTAAAGACTTCACAAAGCGAGAACAAACATTCATGTCAAATCTGTTTGGCAAAATGAACTTCATTCCCATCGCCACATTCTGAGCCTGGCCTTCTTCTGTGTTTGAGTCCATCACATGTTCTACTTTAATGTCAGGCATGCCAGACAGACAAAAGCTGACACAGTCCTCTCCCGGCAGCTCCGAGGGGCCCTCCAGACTGTTTAAGGTAGACATGGCAGATCTGCGGTTCTTGCACTACTACAACTCCTAAATCTGCATCATAGGACTGTAATGTTCCAAATCTGTTTCAGATCTAAAAAAAGATTGGACAAATATTGCTGAAACTGTAGAAGTGATTTTTACAAGTGTTAAGTTACACTTAATACAGATCTTACATGACAAATTACTTCAAAAATGTATTATAAATTGTTAGCTCACAAAGTAACTGCAATGCGTAAAACACTAGTGGAGGTTTGTTCTGGTGTAAAGCGATAGGCCCAGCCCTCATATCTAAGCACTAAACTGATAAAACAGCCCAGAGTCCAAAGGTCATGTAATGTGATGTCACCAATTTTCCTCTTCCCTGCTCAATGATGCACATAGAAATTTACATATTTACATAAATCTTACAAGAGTAACTATACTTTTAGTGAACTTACACATAGGTGTCCTTTTATGAAACAGAGATCAACGGCGATCCTGAGGATCGTTGCTGATCTCAGATCATTAGTGGTTTAGGAAACAGAGATGATCAGAAGAGAACATGTTCTCCGCTGATCATCTCAGCGCACAGATGGCCAGTATATGAAGGAGCGATATCAGCCCTTCACTGGCAATCTGTGTTCTCCCTCCAGATTCTCCAGCCCAGAGCTGGAGAATCGGAGGAACCACAAACGAAGCAGTGATAATTTACCTCTGCTTAGTAAACGGTGTTTGACTGATCTCTTACTGTAATCTCGCGAGATTATAGTAAAAGCAGCCATTTTCCAGCGTTTGTAAATCGTTCTCCCTTCGTTTGGAGAACTGATCTACACCGCTTCATAAAAGGCATTCACAGGAGAACTGTGTTCTCCGAGAATGCTGGAGAACTGAGCAGCGGTAATTTACCACTGCTTGATAAGAGGACACCTAAGTTGGCTCTGCTGGCCCCACTTATCACCCCTGATCACACACTTATTTATACCCACTACGATGAGATCTTCCAGGGAAAATGAAGTTGATGGCAGCCTATGGGCTTCCAATTAAAGCTGTACTTTAGACAGTAACTTTTATAAGAGCTTAAATGTGATTGTAATGTTACAGTCATTATCAAGTCACTCCTTGTATCCTGTACAATAAGGGCTTGTGTCTTTTGTTTCTGTTTGTACAAATGGTGACTGCTGTGCCTGTTCCTTCCTGGGCCACCAATCATATAACATTCCCACCGTAGTTCAATTTTTTCTAGCAATGATATCATTAAATCAACACTAGTTGTATTGGGGGGATCTGGGAGTCTCAGACAGGTCAGAGCAGTGGCTCTGACAGTGTGCAGAGTTCTGAGAGGCTGAGCAAGCTGTCGATCTAGCATCTGGGTAGATCCCAATATTGTTGGTATCCTTCAAGAGCTTGGAGAGACTCTGTGGTGTCAGCAAACAGTGGGCTTTAGCCAGCTGTTGGCGAATTTTGGGTCACAGAAGTGCAAAGTAACTCCTGTGACCCAGAAGAGAAATATGGCCAAAAGGTTTAGGCCATACTTCTCTTTTCATAAATAATACAAATCTCCCACAAATACCTTGTTTTGGAACCCTTTTACTGCTCGCTCTCGGTCACAGTGAAAGATCAGAATGAGGAACAATCAAGAATATGACGACATTGGATATAAAATGTGCATGCCTGCAGCTGCTGCGCGATTGAGACTCTCTGAAGAAACTGCTGCCAATCACAGCAGTAGACACACTCTTCCAGCCTGTGGAACGTATGTTACGTGGGGCGCCTAGCAGGGAAAAGAATCCTCCATCAATCATCCCTTCTAGATTCACTCCATCAGATGGTGAGATGATGTAGGTGTGGAGGAGAAATGGGGGAAGGTGTATCCGTTGATACAGGCCGAGTAGGCTCAGTAAAGGTGACAATGCAACAGCTAGAAGATTGGCTACTATTGCAGTGCCACAGAAAATGTGGAAGTGAAACTAAAAGGCAGGATCAACCAGGTATTGAATGCTTTAAACATCTTGAATATTATACAGCATAGGATAATGAGGAAACCATGTAAGAAAAACATTTTAAAAATTTCATTGACACTTTAAAATATAAAGCCAAAACTTTTTTTTACATTTGTTGATAGATTGGAGAGGAATTAGAACACCTGTCAGGTTTTTATTGCTGTCTATGTCTTCATTAGGGAGATTCGCCCTCTCTATTTGTTATATTTACTGTTATCATCAAGAGTCAAAGAAAATCCCAAATTTAGGTTTTCACAGATCAAGAAGAGAGGGAAAACACTAGTTCTGGTGACATGCAGGGATTTCCTCACTTTGGAGAGTCATGCACGTTCTGGTGACATGCAGGGATTTCCTCACTTTGGAGAGACATGCACGTTCTGGTGACATGCAGGGATTTCCTCACTTTGGAGAATCATGCACGTTCTGGTGACATGCAGGGATTTCCTCACTTTGGAGAGTCATGCACGTTCTGGTGACATGCAGGGATTTCCTCACTTTGGAGAGTCATGCACGTTCTGGTGACATGCAGGGATTTCCTCACTTTGGAGAGTCATGCACGACATGCAGGGATTTCCTCACTTTGGAGAGACATGCACGTTCTGGTGACATCCAAGGATTTCCTCACTTTGGAGAGACATGCACGTTCTGGTGACATGCAGGGATTTCCTCACTTTGGAGAGTCATGCACGTTCTGGTGACATCCAAGGATTTCCTCACTTTGGGAGAGACATGCACGTTCTGGTGACATGCAGGGATTTCCTCACTTTGGAGAGACATGCACGTTCTGGTGACATCCAAGGATTTCCTCACTTTGGAGAGACATGCACGTTCTGGTGACATGTAGGGATTTCCTCACTTTGGAGAGACATGCACGTTCTGGTGACATGCAGGGATTTGCTCACTTTGGATAGACATGCACGTTCTGGTGACATGCAGGGATTTGCTCACTTTGGAGAGACATGCACGTTCTGGTGACATGCAGGGATTTCCTCACTTTGGAGAGACATGCACGTTCTGGTGACATGCAGGGATTTCCTCACTTTGGAGAGACATGCACGTTCTGGTGACATGCAGGGATTTCCTGACTTTGGATAGACATGCACGTTCTGGTGACATGCAGGGATTTCCTCACTTTGGAGAGTGTCATGCACGTTCTGGTGACATGTAGGGATTTCCTCACTTTGGAGAGACATGCACGTTCTGGTGACATGCAGGGATTTCCTCACTTTGGATAGAGCACGTTCTGGTGACATGCAGGGATTTCCTCACTTTGGAGAGATATGCACGTTCTGGTGACATGCAGGGATTTCCTCACTTTGAAAAGACGTACACGTTCTAGTGACATCCAAGGATTTCCACACTTTGGCGAGACATGCACAGTCCCACCAGCTAGACATCTCAAGTCAGCCCGGAGGTGGACAAGGCATTTCAAACTGAACTCTGAGCTAAACCAATACTGTCCAAAAAGAACAATACATGAGGATTTTGACTTGAATTTTGGAGGTTGAATTACTAAAGGCAAACAGACTGTACGCTTTGCAAAGATATTTACCCTAGAGCAGGGCTTGACAAATTTGCTTTGAGCTAGGAGCCAGCTAAAAAAGTTAGGAGCCAGTTTAAATCAGCTGCCTGGCACCTGGAACTGTATGTCTGGGATGTCAGGCAATAGGAATAGCTCATGCCTGGTGCCAGACCCGGACTGGAACAAAATATAGGCCCAGGCATTTTAGACTGAGCAGCCTAGATTCCGTTGCCGTTCCCACCTCTTTTTACCTCACGTCCACAATGAGGCATGAAATGGGCCTGGAGCATGGCCCTCTGTACCCTAGACAGCATAACAATGAGAGCATGGGGACGTAAGCCATGTAGCCATTTCACATTTTCTTCATTCCTCAGAATGTTTATGGTTGGTGGCCTGCCCCCTTGCTGTTGATTGGTCAAGCCCTGAAGCCATTCAAGCCGTAGCACTCGCGTCTTTTGTGCATGATTGGGCGCATTCCTAGGGCGACTCATGTTTGTGTTACGGTGTTGAGCGTGTGTGCTGTCCGCCATGTCCCTGTATGACAAACGGAAGGAGATCTACAAGTATGAGGTGCCAAGGACAGTGCATGCCATGAATTGAATAGACACATTTTTTTGCTGACACCCATTTGGCATGTTATTTATTACGTGATTTGTAGGTGTCAGTGTTATGCTACACTTTTTTGGACTTATTGTGCTGTAACATTAATACCTTATCACTATTACTTTTAACCACTGTTAACCTTGGGCCCTTATTATGCCGTATGTATTCACTTGCTAGTGAGCCAAACTGTAGTTGATTTACAGTCAGGTCCATAAATATTGGGACATCGACACAATTCTAACATTTTTGGCTCTATACACCACCACAATGGATTTGAAATGAAACAAACAAGATGTGCTTTAACTGCAGACTGTCAGCTTTAATTTGAGGGTATTTACATCCAAATCAGGTGAACGGTGTAGGAATTACAACAGTTTGCATATGTGCCTCCCACTTGTTAAGGGACCAAAAGTAATGGGACAATTAGCTTCTCAGCTGTTCCATGGCCAGGTGTGTGTTATTCCCTCATTATCCCAATTACAATGAGCAGATAAAAGGTCCAGAGTTCATTTCAAGTGTGCTATTTGCATTTGGAATCTGTTGCTGTCAACTCTCAAGATAAGATCCAAAGAGCTGTCACTATCAGTGAAGCAAGTCATCATTAGGCTGAAAAAACAAAACAAACCCATCAGAGAGATAGCAAAAACATTAGGCATGGCCAAAACAACTGTTTGGAACATTCTTAAAAAGAAGGAACGCACCGGTGAGCTCAGCAACACCAAAAGACCCGGAAGACCACGGAAAACAGCTGTGGTGGATGACCAAAGAATTCTTTCCCTGGTGAAGAAAACACCCTTCACAACAGTTGGCCAGATCAAGAACACTCTCCAGGAGGTAGGTGTATGTGTGTCAAAGTCAACAATCAAGAGAAGACTTCACCAGAGTGAATACAGAGGGTTCACCACAAG